TTCAAGGCCGAATAAACAATCCTCCTGTCTTCAGATATGATTAACAGCTTAGACATATGATTGTATGTTTTCTGGGTAGATTCAGAACTGGTCCCCCTGCTCCGTCATCCTGTTTTTTATTGTATACTGTCATTCTGCTGCTATCAGAATGTGTGTGCATTTGCCTTCTTTTTGTCGGTAAATCAACATCCCTACGACTTGTGCTGTAAGGAAGGCAATTTGTCAAACCTTAGCAGCAGGTATCCCATACTTTGCCTTGCTTTTTTTCATTTTCTTTGGCAAGTTCTTTTTTTCATGTAACTGCATCTAAATCTATATAAGAATTTTTTCATGTTCAAGGTTCTTTATGGTCATAAAGAAATGTGTCACTCTGAAAGACTGATTTTTTTGTTTTAAAGGTTGAAATAGGATGACAGAAGAAAACAGTTGTGTTCTTCTTTTATTGTTAAAATATCCTACACTGCTCCCTACTGGAAGAGTGGAATTCTATGTTTAATATTCGAAACTGCACCTAAAACGTAGTCTTTTTTTTATTTATTTAATGATATTTTTGACTTGGAAAAGATGACTTTTCCTGAGGGTGAATTTGTCCCCTTAAAATTCTGAGGAAAAACACCAGGATAGAATTTCTATGAACTAACATTGAAATGAGTTGCCAAAACCTAATCTGATTTTGAATTACTGGAGTGTATCGTATGAATGGCAAACCAACAAACAAACAGAAAAACCACCTGAGATGGCCTTATTAATAGCTATTCTTTTTCGTAGTGTATTCAACCAACTTGCAATTTCTAAAGCATTTATAATGCTTTCACCATGAAATTGGACTAACGCGTTCTATGATTCTAAGTCTTGCTTGAGTTAAATGCATAATAAAATTTTCTTTTCAGCTCTGTGCAGAAGGAGTTATTGCTCACAAGGGGTCTGTTTCTGAAACTTGCTGTGTAAGAAAGTCCATCTGGCAGTCACAGGGTGGAATTAATCTCTCAGTTGCTGTCAATTATAAAAGTTCTGTTGATTCTAATATGATGAAAGAGACCCTGGTAATTCTCCACAGCTGCACTATCTAGCAAATCTTAGCACGTGGAACAAGCACATCTGGTCCTCTGCTGATATTAAATTAGAATTTGATCTGAGGTATTTGTCTTGTATATCACTGTTCAACAGCTCACTTTCTTAATAGCAAACATAAATGAGAGAAGGACAACCTTTAATATTCAAGTGAAAAAAATGCGTTAAATTGTGTGTTAAGATCTGTTGACATCATAGAAGTTATTTCTGACTATAGATTGCTGCAAGTGAGATCAGAATAAGCATCACTTTAGAAACAGCCTTTCATCAGTGTTGTGGGGAATGTGTTTGGAAGAATGGCAGACTGCAATGAAAAAAATCATTTGGGAATGAAATTGCACTGATTTGCTGTATATTTATGCAGAGCATTAGATGTCATCAACTTTAAACTTCTTTGAGTATCCAAAAGAAACTTAGTGTGGTTCTGGTGAAACTTCTTGTTAGCGCTGACCTCAGTAATTCAGAAGTACTGACAAAGTTGAGTCTGGTGGCACACTCAACTTAAGCTGTTCTCTTTGAATTAGCTTATTATCCACAGAGAACACCGAATTCAAGAAACAGCTCTTACTAGTTGTAGGGAGGAGACGTTTCTAACGTAACCAAATGTAAGTATTTTTAATCTGCGTTATGTATTCGATGTTAATGAATGTTTAAGAAAGTAACACGCTTATTAAATTGCACATGGTGTTAACACTGAAAGATCTAAAGGAGATCTACTCCCTGATCTTCTCTTTAACCTTTCACTGTGCTAAGTGGAAGAGCAGCTTGGCTTCTAGGACAGTTACAGCTTGTGGTGTGTGTTTGTTCCTTGTCAGCTGGCTCTGCAGTAGGAGGGGACATGAAGTGATCAAAGCAATAGCTGACTTCACAAGTTTCTCCTCTTTCTTTTTTTCTGCCTCAGTACCACTTTCTGAAGGACCCTTATATTGAAAATGGAATTCTTGAATTTATCGATTTTTGTTTTCAGGTTTCTGCTGCAGTACTTCTTTTACATTGAATGCTCATGTTCTGAGTATCACACTGTGCTGGATTCCTGCTATAACGTATTAATAGTTTTCTCTTCGTGTTTGTGTGAAATGTGGGGAGAAAAGTCTGCTGAAAAGATGATAAAGAAATGGATGTCTCCCACTTTTATGAGCATGGTGAATTAGTTCTTCATTATTTACAAGTCCCAGAGGACAAAGGGCATCTGGTATGTTAGGGATTGCACAAATACGTAGGGCTTCATTCCATTAAGCTCTTCTTTTAAACTTTCTATTTTGCAAACATATTTGCATTTGCTGAACTTAATTATTACAAGTAACACCATAAAAATTGGGGCTTAATAGTAAACAAAATGCAGGGATTTGCCCCATGTAGAAAATGTGCAAAGCGGATAAAAGTTGTAAAATTGTGTTAATTTTTTGCCCTAAAATAAACAAGTCTATAATATATATATATATATATATATATATATATATATATATATATATTTAAATATTCAAATTTTTGCTCTAAGTTTGTTTTTCTCTTGATTAGTGTGTCTTAATAAATAGAGAGAGAGAAAGTTTATGGAGGCTAAATGTATGAACTGTTATATACAGATATATAAACAGTCTAAAATTTGAACTGAACTGAATATGAAATGGAGCTGCAGTTAACAGACATACAAACATATGTATCAGATAGAATATAACCCGTAGCATGCATGTGTCATTATCTCTGAGTGATACTGACACCTATGCTACAATTATCCTTTTTATTTATAGATAAAACGCATCTTGCTTCTTTTTCCTAAATTGAGTAGTCTGTTCCATGTAAACTGTAATTCCATCCCATCCAAATCAAATTGCTGAGAGGAAAAAAAATTCAGTAGTGATGCTTAAACATCAAAACAGATGCCCATCTGGAAGATGGTCCATGTTCCATAAATATTGATATAAATACTTCTATGTTTCTATATACATCAAGTCTTGGGTTATTGGTTTTGTAATATTTTTATCAAATTTAATTCATATATATGTTGGAGGCGTTATCAATCATATCAATGTGTGCTTTCAGCAATTTCTCTCCACACTTGGCTGCATACATTACCTCCCCCACTTCCCCCCACCCCCCTGCAATCAGGAAAGAGAGAGATGCAAGGCAGCTGCCTGGCTTCTGGAAGCACACTCCGCACAATCCCAGCAAGGCCTGTCTTGAATGTCTGCTGGGGGGAGCACCAGTCTGCTTCCTTTGGTGGCTCTCCTGGCACTGCAAGTTTTCAAATCCTCCAAAGAGGAGCAAGCTGAAACATGCCCAGCCATTTTCAACTCCCTGCAGTTAGCTGCGATTCAGCTGAGCCTTTTCCGTATTTGCATCTGTTGTCTCCTATTTTTATGCAGGAGTTTTGCAATGTATATAGCATACCATTTCCTCGCTCTCAATTAGTCACAAATCATACTGTAATTATGGTGATGTGTAAGATGATATATCAGTGTTGTGCTAAGCATGTGTGTAGATGTTTGGTATTGCCAGAATTGCTCTTAGATTCTCATGTGTCCTTATTTATTTTGTCTTTTTTTTTTTTTTTTTTTTGCTTTACATTAGTGCTATTATTATTTAAACATACAAACGTTCACTCATCTTTCCCTTTCTGTCTGTTACATGTAGTAGTATCTATATCGTCCAGGAATCATTATTGCATTTTCTGCAGCTGTCACCAGGGAACAACACATCCTTTATTAAAGTGTGGGGAGTTGCTATACAAAAGACATCAAATCAATAACAAAGGTTTCTGCTTTATTATCAGGAAGCCACGGACTCCTAGGTAGGGAATTGCAATAGCAGAGATCATTGAAAGTGTTTGTGCCTGGATTACAGTGTTTTGATTTGTGTTCAAGGTGACACAACACATTTCAGAATCAGTAGCAGGTTTGTAATGAGATCTGAACATTCACAGAGCTGCAAAGTTTCTTTGCTGGCATACAGCTTGAGCATGTCGAAATGTTAAAAACTTTCAAGATGATATAGAAAACATCTGTAGTTTCACAAACTTAAGTTGCTCTCTAAACTGTAAAGACTTAATAATTTTAGATACCTTCATGCATCACATTCTGCATAGAGGTTTGTGTACTTCAGAGATGAGTGTAAATTTGTACTTTTTTGCTAGTGTTATATTGGCATGTTGCAGGTATATGGTGTGACTAAGCCAACTGGACCTCAGTATGGAAATCAACCAGGTGATTCATAATTAACTTATCACACAAACAAATGTGGTTTTGGCCGGATTTTCAAACCTTTCATGAAGTTTAGTAGAAATGAGCAAAACTGTACTGAATTATTTAAAGGAATTTCAGTATACGAATGAAGAAGTGGTGATGTCCCTTAGAAATATGATTTGTGCGTCGACAGGTATATACTTGGTTTGTGATAAAATCTACTAATCTAACTTAGGAAAAAACAATTCTTTGAGTCTGAGCCTTGCTTTTCATCAGTTAAATTCTGCTTCCTTTAAACCTATGAAGTTCCTGTACCAAGAAGCTGTAAGAGCAGACTGGGGTCTTTTTACTTTCTTGTACTGCAGTGTATCGGTTTTAGTAACCTGGTTCAAACCATTGGCCTATTTTGATCAGTAAGAACTATCTTGCATCCTTGGTTTTTGTAGGATTACACGGTTTACCAAACCAACAGTTTCACTTAAGTTGCTTCAAGTTGCTTAACCTGTAGTTCAGGACTTCTATAAGGTCAAGTTAAAATGGTTTTAAAAGCTATTTGAAACTCTTATACTCATCTAATCAGAATTTGATTCTTGTTATACTCTTGATTATAAATAGCTATGTGTAAATATGCTATAAGCTATTGAAATGGTTGTCCTTCCAAAATATTACTTGGAAATTGTTGGAAAATATGATTGCTTAAGTTAGGCCTTTCAATGCCTAACTTATTTCTCACAATTATACTCTCTTCAGTTTCTTGGCAGTACAGAAGTGGAGCAGCCCAAAGGCACAGAAGTTGTAAGAGATGCTGTTAGAAAGTTAAAGGTAAGGAACCATGAAATACAACTAGAATATATTCTTACCTTATTTGCGTAGACAAGGCACTTTTGGTACTGTTAGATAAATTAATATGTTCTGAAAGCAGCTGCTTTTACTGGTATGAAGGCAGTTCACTATTGTGTCCATGTTACCAGAGGTACTAATATTTAATTCTCGTGTATTACAAGATTATAGTATAAATGGTGTGTATCTTAACACGTGATGCTTGTTCATTGGAAATTCTAGAGCTTCCTAAATCGTAATCTAGGTAGCAATAGTTTGTTTTAGCTGCCGTTCTTCCACAGTGGCTATTGAAAACTTCCAATTAAGCTCATCAGATGTGTCACCAGAGAACTTCCTTGACCAAATAAGTAGTGGTTTCAGTAATGTCTGTCCTGCATTTTTCTGAGCCAAGCAATGCTTCCTGTGAGCTGCGGTGAGGTGATGTTTGTGTTACAGCACATGGAGTACACATGTAAGTTAAGCCTTTGGTGCCCAAAACCAGCAGTGTGAATGTGCTACCAAGACATAAGTGAGCTGTGGTGGGTCTGTGGGTACTGGTTATTCCTCACTGCTCTTCATCTGAAACTCGTTTGTTTCTGTGCAGAGTGACTGTAAGTCTGGTGGTGAAGGTTTGGGACACTGATGTGAGTGCTGGTCACCCTCCAGCTGTGCTAACTGGTGATATGATTGGAAATAGACTTGTTGTGAAAAGAAAAGTGGGTACAAACTAAGCTACATGTGTTCACGACAAGGGACATTACTGCCTTGTTCTCTAGGTCTTTGTTTCGTTGGAAAGGTTTGTGTCCACTGACTCCATCCATGTGCTGGTTATACTGTTATGAGGCTGAGAAAATCAGATAGGTACAATTCCTTTTTGATTATATTCTGGGGCACTGAGGGACTTGACAGACAAGCAGAATTTATCAATGAAGAAATGACCAAAGAGAGAAATAGGAAAATTGTGTTCATGATGTGCTAATATTCTTTGGTTTAATCCATAACGTAGTAACACTTGCTGTTACAGACTTGCTGAGGGTTAAAAACTGATAATGCAACCTTCATTTCACTGGTAGAGACAGCTAATGTGCTTTAAAGCACTTTACATACTATGAGTTGTGGTGGGAAATGCTGATGTGATTTATCTGTCAGTTGACCTCACAGCAGAATTGAACTGTTTTGTGCTTAGCTTCTTAATGCTACTGGAACATTGTTTTTCTTAGCTGTAAAAAGTGTTTCTATAATGTAAAAAGTTATTTCCGTAACTTTCTGAAGAATTTTCAGTGTTTCTTTAAACAGAAGTCTTCTGAAGTGAAAGGAAAATTTTGAGAATCAATATTGAAAAACTTGGGTTTTGTGTGTAATTACTATGATAATAAAAGTAACAGAGCAAAGAGGGCATGAAACAGACTTCAGGTAGTTGAACTCTTAAGGATGAGGGTTCCCTTGAACAAGTTTTGTTTTTTTTCTACAGGACTGATTAGTAACTATGTTTTGCTCTACCAAAAAACTACAGGTGCCTTTAAATACTCGGTCGGTCAGTGCCTAGTGTTTAATGTCAAAAAAGGTGGCTGCGGTTTGTCAGAGGTGATAAGGTAGTTGCTCTCCCGTGCAAGTGTATGTAGGTATGATCTTTTTTTGACACCTGCAGCATGATTATATGGATTGTTTTCAATCACAGGGTTGTTAATTGTTCATCACAGTTAGTATTTAATGAAAATTATTGCTTATTAAAATTATTCTCCTTTAACATATGGGGCCATTTTTACAACTGGAATGCATTGGGCTACTGATAATTTAGGTATTATTATTGCAAGCTATTTTTCATCACATTATCCAACTATGGGGGAACACAGATCTGACATGCAGCTTTACTTCAAATGAGAAAGCCTCAGTTCATACAGAACAAAGAATTTTTCACTTCATAGCAGAATTTTGTCCAAGACTAGCACGCAACTCTGCAAACTTGCTTTTACCAGCAGGTGGAGCTAACGTCCCACAGTAAAAGATAAAGTCGAAGGAAATCGCTTGACGTTTCATTCGACTTCTTGTATCCCGAGTACTACTGTTCATACTTCCTAAACGCTTTCTGATTTTGGTTGGTCAGTTGCAGTTTTGTATAACAGTTGTTTGAAGCATCTATATTTAATTTTCCTAGGTTATCCAATGAGTTTTTTGTTTTCTGGTCAGTTTTTTCCCTTGTTTTCAAATTTCTTGTGACTGCTGCAGGATGAATAATAAATTTGGACTTCACTACTTTCATTTCTAAGATAAAGCAAATTGTTCTCATAATTTATTACAAACATTTTTTCTTTCCGGTTTTCTAATTACAATAATTTCTAGAATGAATTAAACTTAGAGAAATGTTAGCAAGTTGTTGGATCAACATGCTTGTATTCAAATGTGTGAATGATGTCAAGTCACGCTTCATAAAATGAAAGGTCAATTCTTTTCATTAATGAAGGCTATAATGTTTAATTGAGACTGTAGAAATGAATTTCAGCTTTCTCAAAATGTTTAAGTGTTGCCAGAGATGAGAAGATTGCAAGTTCAGCATAACAAATGGAAAGGATGGTATAACCAGACCTGTGTAAGAAAGTAATTTGGAATAGCCTTTGGGAGCAACCAGGACTAAAAGCTTGTTTACACTGTTTCTCCATGACTTCCCTTAAAAGGTCCAACCTTGATGCTGTTCTCTTTTATTCACTTTCTAGCTCAGTCTCCCCTTTCTCCTCCTTTTTTTTTTTTTCTCTCCTGTAAATGAAGATGAGAGATAATGTCAGTGGCACTTAAAAGTCACTTGAAATACTTTTCATTGCTCCCTAACCATTAAGATTAGCAAAATGAAGGAAGGATACTCTCACAAAGGATTGCATGATGTGTTAGGCTGCTGTCGTTAGCATGCCCTCAGTGCTAATGTTCTGAGCTTCCTTTCATGGTTAAACTGGGTTACACTGCTTCTTGAAGGAACAGAGAAGAGCTGAAAACAGAAACCTTTCACTGCTGGGAGGAAGAGATTTCCAGACAGGCCTTACAGCCATGGCATTTTGCTTTGAAGTACTTGAGAAAGCAGAATATCTTCAAAAATAAGAGATGGAAAAAGGATTTTACTACATTGCCTTCTATGATTACGAGTCTATGTAGTTATTAATAGATCAGAGCCTTCTCAGTCCAGTGTGTCTTTGGAGAATAAAATACTTAGCCTTTGACGGTGGATTTCTGAGGCAGCTTGATCCCTACCCACTGACTATTGAGATATATGTGGTCTTTTCATACTTGTCTTCTTCTTGACAGGTTTTCTGAGATCATAGATACACAAAACATGTGAATGAGAGCTTGGACCATAATGTGGTCTAGTGGCTATTTTCTTCAGACATCTCCTTCTAATGGATGGCATGCATGAAGTGCTGTGGGAGGTGTCTGATACTGGGAGTGTGTGCAGGAGGAAGGAATTGAACATCTGTTCCCCAGGCTGAAGATCAGCACCCAAATATTAGGAATTTCTTCCTTTGACATTTCAAGTTGATCTCTAGTAAATGATTGAGTCATGCAGAGAGGTGTAAATACTGAGTAAAATCTCATTGATTTTATTTCCACAGTGTAATTTGGCTGAAAATTTTCTAACCATTTTTTTATTAGCTTACACTTGTGACAGATAGTGATTCCTTGTGTTGTTTTTGTTGGTTAACCTTCTGATTGCAGTTTGCTGATGCTGTACTGGAGGCATAAGGATTTCAAATATAACTGTTATTAATATGAGAGCACATTATTTTACCTGCTGCTGTAATGAAAGATATATGGAAGTGTTTTTCTTGTTTAAAAAAAAAAAATAACAAAAAACAACTAAGTAAAACCATTGGAAATAGTTTGTTTTATATGTTTCCCTTCCTCCCCCCCTCACCCCCCCCAAAAAAAAGAAGAAAAAAAAAAAAGGAAATACGGTGTTAATTCCAAAGCAGTTAAATAAAAGCTAGCTCATCCCCCTGAGCTGCTCAAACTACTATTGGACCAAATTTGAGTGCCTTGCCCAAGAACAATAAATGTATAAAGTAACGGCTTAAGAATTTGGCCCATCCTATCCCTTCCCAGGCCATGCTCTGATTCATTATAGTTCTGTATCATTGTCCATTTTGATGCCAATGGGAGGCGACAGATTTTTACCCTCTTATATAACCTTGTTACTGTGTGCAATACAGATATTTGTTTCAAATCTGTGCTGAGTGGACAAAATTAAATTTGTAAGTCCCGTGTGCCCAGAGGCACCTGAATGTCCATTTTACAATAAAGGAACAAGCAAATATAAGGAGAGAGAGCAAAAAAGCCAAATGGCAGATAGCTGGTTAAGATTTGGTGTTTTAGGGTTGAGTTTGCAAAGTGGCTGAACCAGGCTTTCTGAGATCAGCTGTGGCATTAACCAGTGTCTGTATGGTATCTGGTCTTACACAGAGCAGGGAGCGGGCAGGAGAAGCATCAAGAAAGAAAACAGCTGGACATACAGATGTTCTGGATTTATCAACATGCACGTTTCAGTCATTGGACCTCAGCAGACATTTGATTGAAAATCTTGTTCTTCTCTCCAGATGTGTCTGATGAAGTCCTTGTATCTTTCATCATTAACTTGTTTTTGATTTGCCTCCTCTGTGTATCTGACAGACCTTATAAAGTGGTTTTGCTACCTCTTGCAAATTTTCTCAGTTTTATCAATATCCTTCTGGATTTGGAGACCTCAGAATGCAGAATTTGGGTTGCTGTTTCAGAAGCAGCTGATTCAGTGCACTCTTTCTTAAGGATATGTTTAAAATTTCCAAGGTTTGGGTTCTTCACTTCATGAGGAGAGTCTCTAGTTTGTAGAAAGCCAACCATGACATCAGGCCATGTTAATTCTGTAGTGTTCTGCTTGGTTGTGTTGCTTTATTTCAGCTCCATCAGCATTGGTATTCTGCAGGTTTTCCCTGCAATAATTGTAAATTTCACTACAGATCATGAGTGACTTTTCTCCCCTTTTTTTTTTTTTTTTTTTAAATCTTTTTTCAGCCTGCAGATTTTATCAGTTTTCTTCCTGGGTCATTTTTCAATAGTCTCTTGCTTAAGAAATAAACACTGCTGGAATACATTAGAAACATACCTTCCCTATGACCATTTCCTGTTTATAACTGCATCTGGAGACTAATGTAACTAACTTCACTAATACTTTCTTGGTATTGCTTCATTTCCTAAATACAGTGACATGCAAAGCTTACTGAAGTGCCTCGTTTATTTTGACAAGCTGCATTTTAAGTGTTGGTCTAAAATCCATATTGATCAGCATTAATTTTATCTTGATAAAGTTCCTCAGTTCATGTGCCTGATACATACCTTTTGGAAGCAGCGAGATGGAAGGGTCATTCTATTTTTCCTTACTTAGTATTGGCACAGAATTACCTTCTGGAACTTCCTTGGGGTGTTATAAGACTTCTGGACTACTTGGAGCAAGCTTTGGCCATCTGCTCTAAAACTTGTGCAAGTTACTCATATCATTTTTTTCGATGTATGCTATGGCTTTAACTCAGTAAAATTAAATATTCTTTATGCCTGTTGTTCTTACTGCACAGAAATACTTGCGTGCATCTAGGTTGTAAAAGGACATTTCCAAAAAGCCAGAGTTCATTCAGGTTTGAGGCTGTTCCAAATCAGTGTTGTGCTCCAGGATTATCTGCTGCGAGTGAACTTCATTTGAGAAATGAAAGCTCAAAGGAAAATATGTCAGCGTGTCACAGCATGCAGAATGGCATCACATCACAGGAATGGCATCAGACTGGCAATCCTGCTGTGAACAGGAACAAATCCTCTCCTAGACCCAGTCTTGTGCTCACTGCATTCAATTATACAAGAGCACAGGTTTCAGGACAGCACACTCGTAAGGGCGACAAGCTGACATGTCAGCCCCTGGGCTTCAGTGAGTCATCTTGTTTATCTGATATTTGAAAATGTGATTCCTGATTGTCACAGGTGAGAGAGTACAGGGGCAGGTAATGGAGCAAAAAAAAGTAATGCTGAATCTTTGCTAATAATGGTACCTAAATTCACGACACTTCTTTTGACCGTAGCAAATTTGGGGCACTGCTTATTTTATCAGCGGTGTTCACAAGGGAAAGGTAAAAAGTCAGATCCAGCTGTTGAAGAAAAAGTAGTAAAAGGATAAAAATTGTATTAAATAAGACGTATGACCCAGTCATACAAAATGTCATCTAGTGATTTGATAGTGAACAGATCCCGAGAATACAATAGCAAAGATCAAACACTTCTTTGGTGTGGACGGTTGTAGTGCTTTCACACTTAACCAATTTAAAATAAATGATTTTCTTGAGACATATGATACACACCCTCCATGAGTGTACAGAGTTACTGTGGTGTGGGGGGAGAAAATTCAATGCTAAGCAACCGAGCAGATAACAAACTGTCTGCAGGAGTTTTCCTAGGTGGCTGAAGCAAAAGTGTGAGTTAGGTGCATAAACTGCAGATAATAGTCTCAAGAGAATAAGTTAAATAATTTGAAATCTTTTTTCCTAAGTATAGGAATATTCTATAGCATGCAGTCAGGAATGCTGTTTGATGCTCAAATTTGACTTTGGCAATGTCTGGTGGTGTTTGTAAGTTTTTTGAAGAAGGAAGGAAATGTCTTTGGTTTGCAGGAGTTAAGAGGAAACGAGAAATAATTTAAACAAAATCAGCACAGAAAACTTAATAGTAATGTGGTGTTATGCTTTTCTTTTTACAGTTTGCAAGACATATCAAGAAATCTGAAGGCCAGAAGACACCTAAAGTTGAGTTACAAATCTCAATCTATGGTGTAAAAATTCTAGATCCAAAAACAAAGGTAGGATACGTATTTATCTGTGATGTTAAAAGAATAACTGTGAATGGTTTCAGAGGTTTTTTTTGTTTTATACCTTAAAAATGCATGACAGTGACAGCAATTTCATTGATATAAACATTATCCAAATTGCCATTTCTTCTTAGTACAAATGGGTAACATCTTCCCCATAAGGAATCTGATGCTCACAAATATGGACCATAGCTAACGTGCTATTTGATTTTTTTTGTAACCCTTCAACACTAGAAATTCTGAGGAAGATTAAAACGCAGTGGCAATTACGTGTTAATTTTGAATGCTGTACGTACCCATGTTTGTTTGCACTGACTCATATCTCATGCTGCTGCTTTGGAATTGCACCTTTTTCTTCCTCTTCCTGTGTTTTTGATTTTAATTATGTCCTTGCTTTGCTAAAACGCTGATGTTTTTCAGGTGTTATTCATTTGTCTGTAAACTTTGGGCTCTACATCTGGCACAGCATGACAATTCCTGTCTTTTCAGCATTTGTGGTCCTTTGTGTCATCCCACTGATGGGCTTTTGGTTTGTTTGTTTGCTCTGTTATTTTGGAAGAGGTTACATACTAAGGGAAACATCTTTCTCAAAGACTTCAAAGAGGCAGCTAAATGAGTAATTATTTAGCAGTCGGCAATTCATAACATATGAATGCTCTAAAGCTTTTTGTGCAAATGTTAAGTTTTGAATTTGAATGACCTCTTTGTTGCTCCACTTTAGTTCTAAAGCCATTGTGACCATTCACAGAGTGGCACTGCCTTTTAGGAAAAGGTAGCTGTAGTTCAAGATTATAGCTGCTTGCAACCTTTTTTTGCTTCAAAATCTAGACAAGACAACAGTTCATAAGCCCAAGAAGAAATAAATAGCCGTATCAACTATTGCAGTTTGTGCATTTTCTTTATGTCCTGGGGCAGAAAGGGGACCAAACCCCATACGCTGGCAAAAGCTGTTTTAGCATGGGAGAATTCAATGCCAAAATATGTTAGAGATTAAAAGAAATCTGTGGGACAGACAGTACTGGGGAAATAGGAACATCTTAATCTTGTAACGATGTTATTGCCAACTGCGATGGTAATCAGCTCTGAGAAGCCTTTTTATCTCCCTCACTTTTTTTTTTCCCTAAAGCTAGACGTAAAAGCAAATGTGAATCAAGGTTTCTTGTCTTTGCAAATTTTATTTATGGATTTCATACTTAGCATTCAAAGAAGGGGAACTACAGTGCAATACTGTCCTTCAATCATACAAAGTAATTACACTGATTTATGAACCTGTAAGAGCCCATACAAGCACGTGCTCTTACATGTAACTGTTGAAGAGCTATAGTGGAAGGACAAAATGTGAGAGATGTGGGGACATGGGAGAAGTAGGAGCACAGAAGAATAACTGTAAAGAATGAGAACGAGGAAGCCTTTTCAACCTAATTGGGGTAGGGGGAAGAAAAGGGGAAAACATTGCCTATGGGGTACATTTGTGGATAAACTGCTGAGAGAAAGCATGCCCTTGTTTATGAGCTTATAGCAATCTGTGAACTCCTGTGCTGCAAAGAAACACTTTGTTCTGTAGATGATAGTTCATATCTAAACTGCATATTTTCCTTTAAAGCAAATACTGCTTTCCCATGTAAGAAGCCAAATAAAATAAAAATACCAAGAAGAGACTTGCAGAAAAGAAGCAAAAGGAAAAAAAAAAGTTTTTATTATTATAGTTCTATTGCAGTCTTATTGACATATTTCAGCTGAAGAGCATTGCCACTGCAAGTTTTAAGTATCCAGGGCATGGTTTTCAATAGAAATTGAATCAGTATTTTAAATATGCAAACAATAATGTTTAAAAATGATTACTGTTACAAAGGATTTCTACTTTATGTCTCTATATCTAGATAACAAAGTCAGTTCTCCGTGTTTAAGGTAGAAGGATAAGGACTTATTTCAGCACAACTGTTTCAGCAAAGCCTAGGAGATGATGAGATCCAAAGATGGTGCACACGTGGACAAAGAGCAAATTCTTTTACATAATCAGTCTCCAAATAAAATGCACTGGGGCACAAAGCAGCAGTAAAAACTAATTATCTAGTGCAGAAATTACTGCCCAAATAAATGCTTCCAAATAAATACTGTCTGAATCAAAACTTCCTGTTTACATTCAGTAATAATGGGAATGTTTCTTAGAGAAGATGAGTTTAGCTTCTGTTATATTTTTAAGTTTGTTTCTTCAACTCTCTCATGTAGGGAGATTTTCTGTATCCCACACAACTATAGCATTTCCTCGAAAATAATCTTTTTTTTTTTTCTAGGAAGTTCAACACAATTGCCAACTCCATAGGATATCATTTTGTGCTGATGATAAAACTGACAAGAGGATATTTACTTTCATATGCAAAGACTCAGAATCAAATAAGCATCTGTGCTATGTATTTGACAGTGAAAAGTGTGTAAGTATGCAAGATTCTTTTCATAAGACTGAGGGTCTATTATGGAATTTGTTTTAAAATAAAGCAAGAATGGTTAGCAAAAGGAAACAGCCTGACTGCTAATTGAGGTCAGTGTGGTATAGCCTTTAATGCTAACATAGTGCCTTGAAAATTAGATGCATTAATTTGTCGAGAGTCTCTTTTCCTTTAAGGTGGTTTTCTGGGAGAATTCTTCTTACTACCCAGCTCAACATCCTAGTCCAACCATCTGAAATACTCAGAGAACAGTGCATCCCACTAAGCTTGAAATGTTTGCACAGCTGTTTTGCAGAGATTACTGTAACCCTGTAGCTCAGATATCCTCGCAGGCAGTTCTGCCGATGTGTCAGCCTCAGCAGCTACTCAAATGTTTTAAATATTTGTTTCATTACAGCAGAGTTCCCCCTACCCTCCCCCCTGCCACATCTCAAGCTTGTAATGCTGTGATGCACTAACAGAGAATTAATTTCACCAACTACTGACATTCTCTCGTGCCTGAGATAGAACAGGGCAACTGTTCCAAACTGCAATAGCAGAAAAAAGTTATAATTCAGGACAGGAAATGAAGAGAATGGTGCCTCATTCAAGCAGGGTCATGCATTTTCCTAGGCAGAAAGTAATTAACAAATTAAAACATCAGAATCAACGCAAACAAAATGGATGCTTGTTTTCTGTTGTTTTTAAATCTAGATCGTCTCTGATTTATTCTGAAGTAGGTGAGAAAAAAGGAAGGAAACATTGTTTATTTGTGTTTTTTTTTTTTTTAAGAAAAAAAATTACATCTTTGTCACAGAATTTGCTTGTAATTATGTATCACTGTGCCATGTAGGCGTACAGAATTGTTGTACGCATCTGTTCAATTCTCTTTACATTTCTATCCTGTTGCTTTTATGCACATTTGACCTTTCAGTTGGCCCTGCACTTTCTGCACACCAGTGCCATTTGTTCTCCAAGCCCAAGTACTATTTTTCCCCTGTCCTAATACTCCACTTACTGTAATTTTCTGCTTTCACTCTTCTGTTCATTAGCAAAGGATCCCATCTTGGTTGATAGCTTTCCTTTCAACTGACCTATCTCCTTCCAAGGAAAATAGTTAGGAAAATCCTCCTGTCTATTACTGTGTTCTTTTATTAACAGTAACAGTTACTCTCTAAAGCAGTTCCAGTTCAGCTTTTTGTCTCTTGAGTCTAATTTCATAACAGTATTTTTGGTAGTGATTTTATTATTATAACCCACTGAAGATATAGGTTGAAGCATTAGTTCTCCATGACTGTAGTATGAAGGTCTTCTGACACCTCCACTGAGTGACTTTGCTGTTTGGATAAGGGGCTGGGAGATATTCAAGTTGCACCCACAGTTATCTGTATTTTGCCAAGAGGTTTTTTCCATGCTTCTTTGCAGTGTTGAGTTCAGGGGAGATGAAGCAAACCATTTGAACATGATGTGTGTGTGAAGTATTTTGTGATCATCTGAAATGAGAGTAATTATATAAAATATTTTTAATACACCACTTTCAATTTATGTTTTGTGCAAAGGCCGAAGAGATAACTTTAACAATTGGCCAAGCATTTGACTTAGCTTACAGGAAATTCCTGGAATCTGGAGGAAAAGATGTTGAGACAAGGAAACAGATCGCAGGTTTACAGAAAAGAGTAAGTTCTGATCTATAATTTTTAAAGAGATAATAAGAAAATCCCATTGTAATTGTTAGATTTTTCTATGACGCGTTATATTCAGCATTCTCAGATTGCTAAGAATATCAGCAGATACTTTTTTTTAAAAAAAAAAGCTGAATAAAGACTTGATAACTATGAAATAACATTTTGATTTTCTGTTTTTTTAAGGTGACTAACAGTAATGAAGTGTTGAAATATGTATGTTGCAGGTGTTAAATATTTTTAAATTACTTTTTGTAGTAAGATAATTATTGCTACGAAATTACCAGAACTCCAGCATCTTTAATTGTAAACAGACAAGTAATAGATATCATTGAAATGAATTAATATTCCAATAGCTGTTGCAATAACCACTTGCTTTATAGATTCAAGAATTAGAAACTGAAAACACAGAACTGAAGAATAAAGTTCAAGATTTGGAAAACCAGTTAAGAATAACACAAGTGCACGCACCTCCAGTAAGTAGATGAAATTCACTCTTTTGCCAATGTTACTTTGAATTTGTAATCATCTGCGTTATAGTAATTATCATCTATGCTGTTTCTAGTGATTGATTAACATCAAGTGATCATGTAACAAATCTGATGAAATGCAGTAATGAAGTAACAGTGGGATTGTGACAAGTGCAAATGCCCGTCTCAGTAATTTGTGGTTCTTCATGTGTCCTGTTACACATATTTGTTGCCATGTAAATCCAATGTATACTCCTATGTAGACTCCTAAGCGTGCTAGCTAGGGAACAGAAACTGTTCTGCACTGCTTTGACAATGCTGCTTTGGTTTTTTCTGTCACAAACATATCATTACTTATACCTGCCGTTTTCTAGATAACCTTCTAATAATTTTGTCTGTTTTTCAAAGTAGTCATTAGGGTCTCGGGGAACAGCACAGATGGGCAGGTAGAAAGAATCATATGAGGGTTCCTCATCACTCAAATCTTTTAGTGTTTTCTTCTATTCTTATTAAAGATAGTACTGTTTGTAATGACTGACTGTCATTGCTCGTGTCTAGACTACTCCTATTCTTACAGGCCTATTCAGTCTATTCATCATTAGATAACTGTAGAAATAAGTAAATAGAACTACTAAATGGAATTATACTCAAGTCTTAGAAAAAAAGTGGAGCTGCTTTTAAGCTGTGTCCTTTGGGCCACCTTGTTCCTGCCCCACATGCACACCATTTCACTTCCAGAAGTCTGGGCAGTATAAAAATGTATTGATAGCAGTGACAGCATTTCTTCTGTTGAGTCTATATGCTCTTTTGATATTGATGAGATGTTTGTTTTCATGAGGAAACATTAATGTTATTTCATTTTACAAAAGTATGCTTAGTGGGGAGAGCATCATAAATTATTAATATTGTGTAACTCTCACAGTGAAAATTGTTAATAATGGATGTCTTTTCACTTATGAAGCATTCAGTAAACATTTCCCAAATGCTAGATTTAAAAACGAATGTGGTAAATTATAATTTTAATTTGAATGACAGCTAGTTTCATTTATTTGTGAATATAAATAATCTAATTCAATTCAAAAATCTTTCATAAATTCTATTAAATATACACTTAAGTCTTTTATGACAGATATAGCTTTCTTTCATTTAAATTAAGGAATTTGGTAATTGCATTTAGCAAATTAAAAAAATAATAATAACGATCATAGTATCCTGGAGTGCACACTTGTTTGCCTTTTAAGACAGTGGCATTGCATTCCTCATTAAAGATCTAAAATGGAACAGTCATTTGTAAACTCTAGATAGTGTTTTTTGTGAACTACTCTTGGTTCTGTGATATGCATGTTGCTGAATTGCATTTACGATTTAACAAATCGATATTTTAATTATTCATAATTACTACTAATAATAATCAATTTACAAATATGTTTATCATGATTAGAATTACACAAAGAGCAATCTAGCAACCTGTTTATATTAAAGAGGCATTGATGTTTGCCACAGAGTAGTCTGAGGTGAATGGTTTGGATAAATATTGGAAGAGGTTGCCCAGAAAGGCTGAGGTATCTCTGCTCCTGGAATTATCCAGCACTTTGCTGAACGTGGCCCTCCACAAATTCAGTTCAAGTCCTGCTTGAGCAGGAGTTCATGTTAGTTGATGTTCCAACCTAAGTGATTTTTCAATGGGTTGTGTAGATGGCAATTAAAAAAAAAAGACAATTGTAGGGGAATGTCCTTCTTAAATCACATGTAGGAGCATAGTCCTAACCATCAAACACTATTAACTTCTGGTTCTGATCAAGAGACGTGGTTCAAGTTTGTTTCCTCCAAACTATTTTGTATCCAGTATGTATCAAAGCTGTTAATTGTGCTAGCAGAAAAGTAAGTATGTATAAACACAAAAGGTTGAAAATAAATAAAGGAACAGAATAATGAGGCTGTGAAGAGACTATTCAGTGCTGAGAAGAGGAATCATGCATATTTTCAAGACCGTTTGTGATAAAGGTGCCTGGAAGAGCAGTGGGTGTAGTTTGGTGTTAATTATTTCATCTCTTACTATTTGAGCAGCAAGTTTGTTTGCAAGTAGACTACAAACTTTTCATAAGATTATTCACTGTCTGTTATTTTTAGAAATGAATTTTATATACTTTCATATCAACCATCGTTTGAAGAGAAACTCTGTAAAACTCCAGTCCTATTAGAGGAAAGCAGCAGCTTTCTTTTCTCTATTTAATTTCAGAGAAGAAAAAGATCAATTCCTTTTATAAAATGCAATTAGCAGAGAATAGGTGGGATATTTTCTGAGCTTAAATTTAAACATTTAAGTATCATGTTTTTTAAAATGCCTGCAGTAATGCTGCAAAATTTCTCCAAAGTTAAAAAAGAAACATAACAGCTCTGTCTTGTGATCACTTGGTCAAAGTAAAATTTTAACATCTCCTGACAGTACAGTATTTTGTTAAATGTGGAAATATTTTTATGCATAAACGAAGCAGGATATTCATCACAGGGGATCATACTTCATGTGAGTCGATTTATAAACATTTGCAGTTGAACAGGTGGGAAAATTTGCTTGTCTGCAGATAGTATCCATGCTGTATGTTATGAACGTGACGTGCTCATTCTTGTGATGTATAATATTTATTAAACAGTGAAGCCTGTTTTCTCATGGACACCAAGTGATGACACTGCCGTGGTTTGTTAAACAGAATGTCTTTTCCTCTTGGCAGTCACTTGAAGAGCATGGGAGTGTTTGTGTGCAACCCAATCTAGCATTTCTTCAATCCTGCTTCTTCCTCTTGAAGTTGATCAGTTTTGATTTCTGTAATGATTTTACACATATTAGTCCTCCTGTTAATTTTTAATTAATCATAGGATCTCCAAGGTTGGAAAAGACCTCCAAGATCACCCGTTCTTATTGCCCACCTGTCACCAGTATGTCCCACTAAATCTTGTCCCTTGATAAAAGAAAATGAAGTCAATGGAAAATACCATTAGAAACTTCAAGTCCTACTCTTAATGTTTTATTTCATTGACTTCCCTGATATTAGAACATCCAAAAAGAAAATGCCAGAGAGGAAAAATGCAAATAGTGACTTACAAGCTACAGCTTCACATGAGGTACAGAGTTAGAAGTATTTTGGAAGATAGTATTTTACTAGCTGAAGCATTCATGATTACATATTGTGAATGCATTCTTTTTTTTTACATGATGATAGTGAATGGTTGTTAGGGTGTTTGTGTGAGCCCTTGATCTCTCCCTTGAAAAATCCACTCATAAAAATTGTAAAGAATAACCAAAATAACCTTTAAAAAGAAGACTTTTTATTTCTATTGGTCAAACTATAGGCTTGTGTTTTGTGAAGTACAAAGGGAAACAGTCTAAAGCTGCTTTCCTGATTATTCCTCCTACCACTGATCTTTTGAAGGATGTGTAAGGGTTTATTTGAGGACTTAATTTAACTAATGGCAGGCTGAAATGGGTACAAATTATGTACATGAAAAATGCAATTATGTACCCTTTTGTATTTGTGTAATGTTTGCAAAGGTGCAATGTACTGACAGCAGTATGTTTCTGCTTCTGAAGGATACATCTACCAAAAGTCTTTTATTTCTTGATAGACAGTGTCGCTACTAAAATGTTTCTTTGGTTGCTGTAAATCTAGATAAATTGTCAAAGTAACATCAACTTAATTTAGTTCTCTTTTTTATCTGTTCATAAATGGTATGGGAAAAAATTTTCTGAACCATTAAAGAAGCCATTAAAAGCAGTGAGAACATAGTTGGAAACGAAAAAAGGGGAAAACGAGATTGTATAGCAAAAATTAAGAGTAGCATTTATTGTTAAAATTGAACATGAAACTGTCAGTCTTCTTCATGCTTTCTTTTTATCTGTTTTAACTATTTAGATTGAAGTTTGTCAGTAAATAATAAATTGCTTAGCTTTTTTTTTCTGGTTTTCTTTGGGGTTGTTGTTTTTAAGTATGTTGGTCTTGCTAGAACTTGAAAAAGTCAGTCACTAAAATATGAACATATTTGTGCTATTCAATAGGTAGGGTCACTTTTTGTAATTTCCTGAATGAATGAGTGAAGGGCATAATGTCCTATAAAGTATGGTTTCCTTAGGATGGTTTCCTTTATAGCTGCACTTACATAGATCATGAGAAATGTTGGTATGGGATGGATGTGGTTTTTTTCTTTCTCTCTCCCTTGCATGGACAGCTGAAATTTCCATTACTCATGTATCTGTGCTGTTTACTTTTCATCTCTTTTAGTGGTTTGGCAATACATTAATCACAGGTCTTTCTTGCATTTGGATTTGATTATACGAGGATGATCTGATTTTCATTTTGCTATTTGCCTATGATGAGGCTGCTTGAGTTTATGTCGTTAGTATTTGGATACTGCTCCTACGTATAAATCCAACTTCCAAAGATCAGTGCTTCCCTGGAAGCGCTATTTCATGATGTCTTTTTCTTTTGCTCATTATACTGTTGGTGGTATTAGGAGGGCAGCATGGGTTAGCTGCTAGCTTACGCACAGCCTTCATGTGGCTTAGCAGCTGCATGCAGTGAGCACCTCCAGCTTTTATAACAGAATGAATAGCAAACCCCACTAGGCCACTAAGAAACCTCTGAAGAGACCATAGAATTATAGAAGGGTTTCAGTTGAAAGGGATCTTTGGGATCATCTAATTCCAACCCCCTTGCTATAGGCAGGGATACCTCCCTCTAGACCAGGTTGCTCACAGCCCCATCCAGCCTGGCCTTGAACACTTCTAAGAAGGGGGAAAACTATTCCAGTGTCTCATTGCCCTCACAGTCAAGAATTTCTTCTTAATATCTAGCTGAAATCTACCCTCTTCCAGTGTAAAACCATTTCCCCTTTTCCCGTCTCTACGTGCACTTATAAAAAGTCCCTCTCCAGCTTTCTGGTAGGCCCCCTTCAGGCACTGGAAGGCCACTGTAAGGTTTCCTCAAAGTCTTCTCTCCCCCCTGCTGAAAAGTCCCAGCTCTTTCATCGTGTCCCAGTAGGAGGTGCTCTAGACCTCTGATTATCTTCATGGCCCTCCTCTGCTCCCACAGCTCCATGTCGTTGTGTTGGGAGCCCCAAAACCAGATGCACTACTCCAGGTGGGGTCCCACGAAAGCAGAATAGAGGGGCAGAATCACCTCACTCAAGCTTCTGGTCACACTTATCTTGATGCAATCCAGGATAGTTAACCTTCAGGACTGCAAGTGCGCATTGTCGGCTCATGTTGAATCTTCCATCAACCAACACCCCCAAATCCTTCTCCCTAGGGCTTCTCCCAACCTATTTGCTGCCCAACCTGTACCTGTGCTTGAGATTGCCCCAGCCCAGATGCAATATCTTACATTTGGCTTTGTTGAACTTCATAAGATTGGAATAGTGTGACTTCTCAAGCCTGTGCAGGTTCCTCTGGGTAGCATCCCTCTAGTATGTCAACTGCACCCTCAGATTGGTGTTGTCTGCAAACTTGCTGAAGGTGCACTTGATTCACTGCCCATGTCACCTACAAAGATGTTGAATAACAACAGTCCTAGCAGCGATCTGTGAGGAGCATCACTCAACACTGGTCTGATACGAAATTATTCATGTATTTTCATCGTGGCTGAAGCTTGTCTTGGGTACCTTGAAGGTTTTCTTTAGCAACATGGCTAAGCAAAGAAGGAAGTTATGACAACTGCGTGACTCTGACTTCAGATAGGGAAAAAAAAGGAATATTCAGGAAAATAGGCCTGTAATATCTACATGACTACTCTTACTCTAAGAGTAAGTGCTTCTTACTCTGGCATTGTTGCCAAAGCTTCACCTTTTTTTCCTCTTTGTTAGATATTTATGGACTTGCCCATTTTAATGTTAAGTAGTGACCTAGAAGCATAGGGTGCCTCTTAGCCTCTTCAAAAGCTTTAATGTATGTATGAAGTACAAAAAGGAAGCAAAACCAAAATAGAAGTTGGAACTGCAGAATTCAGAAAACAGTTCTGGAATGTGTTTAGGCATATCACTTGATTCGTCTTTTCCATTAAGAGTGCCAAGGGGGAAGGTGCTTGTGTTCTTGCTTTCTTTGTTTTCTGATCTTTCAATTTTACACTATCTGTATTCAGTTCATCCTTATAGTTTTGCATCCTATCTGCATTTTATTGCTATTTCATTTGATATACTTGCAGAAGTTGCTGTTTGGTCCCCTAAAAGGGTTGGTTGGGCATGTTTCTTAAACCAAGTATTTGAAAACATTACTCTTTGCCTTTTATTTCCAAACCCAGTCATAAAGGCTCTGTGTTTCACCTGGACAAGATCCAAATTTTTGGTAACCTTTTATGATTTGCAGACATCTTTAGGCAAAAAAATTACTTATTGAATCAAGGTGGACAAAACCCTCAGCTTCCCTTTCAAAATGCAAAGAATCTTGCTGGAAGGTAGAAGTAAATAGACTCTGATCGTGTGAGGCAGACTGATTCAAGCTCGTCTGTCTAATTCAGACCAGAACCATGCAATTAGCATTTTGTCAGCTTAGGTGGATGCTCTTACCAGCTGTTGCAGTGCTTATGACTGTTATTTGAGCTGTTCTGTGAGATTTCAGAGATTCAAAGAATGCTACACACCTCAACATTTTTATTTCCCCAGCAGTGAAGTTTTGTTTTGTTCTGGGTCTGTGCTGCTGTTGTACAGTAATAAGAATTCATTTGCTGCTTTTGAGATACCTACTGAAAATACTGTTTTCTACGTTGAACTACTCATGTGCACACAAAAGAGCAGAAGGAGATTACTGTCTGTAAATGTTTGCTCTCAAGTTCTACAGTTAAGGAAATGAAAGAAAGTCTGATGTTAATGTAAGCCTTAGAATGTATGTGCTGTTAGTTTCTACTGTAGGAAAATGTAAATATTTCTTTTTCTGTAAATATCTGTGAGATATAAATAGGTGTTTCCTGGTGTGGAGCAAAAAAACTCTGGCCTGTGCCATAATCACTATAGCAACTTTACTCTCCATGATATATGCTTAACTGCTTGTACAAATGTGCAGATGTGAGATAAAGTTTGTGTATTTGGACTTTTGGCAGCGCACCTGAAATGTCCGCTTCTGAAAGATCCCTGTCATCGTTTTATTTTGATGTGATTATTGAGGTGCAAGTCTTCTTCACTGCAATTAATGCTGGGCTACCTCTTGTTGCAGCACTGTGTAGATTTGCTTTTGAAGTATTATTTGGTTTTGTATCCTGTCACTAGAGTACTGACAAGTTGCAGACAATCTTTTTTGAAGTATGAAATGACTTTTTATTCTTCTTTCCCTGATGCCTCATTCAGTTCCTCAGAATGTTTTCTCTTTCTGTGATTCCTTTTCAGCTGCTGCACATAAAGTGTGATAATGATGAACATATGTTTCAAAGACCCTCTACTTTTTTCTGGTGTAACAATGAGGATTCACCACCTCCTTGTTTAGATATCTCTTCCATTACGCTTACTCCTAGGAGTTCTCCTGACTCTAGACTACCAGCTGGATTGTTAATACCACCACCTTCAAAAAGTGGTCTTCCAAAGCCATCCAGTGAATACAGTTGTCCAAGACCTCGTGTAATGCTGCTGTGCAAAAGCTTTCTCTTTTTTGACTTTCCTGTTCTTTCTCAGCTGTGTATTAACATGTTAAAATTTCACATTTTGTACAGTGATGCAAGGACAGATCAAATTTATCTTTGATTCTCTTGGAATTCTCTTAAAATACGGAATTTGGAAAGACTTGCTCTATTTTTTATGTAGCTTTTTTTTCTTAGACTCCTAAAATACAAGTTCTTATTTTAGCAACATTTTTAATTTAGTCTATTAATGAATCTCTCATCTATCAGTCCTTTGTTAAAATCATTACGTGAAGGATAACTATTCAAACCAAGCAATTCTAAAGATCCAGTCTGAACGTTTTTCCTTCATAAATTATTGGAAAAGAAATCAGCTGTTCAATACATTTTAGTATACTTTATAAAAACTGTGCAAAATGAAAGCTTGAAATTATTTTAAAATTTGAACGAAGCATAGTGTCTGCTTTCTCATGGCAATGTGCTAAATACTCAACATTTCTTCCATTTGCTAATAACATCTGGCTGTATTTGGCAAACCATGGCTTTCTGCATGTGTTCACAAAATACAAGTTCTTCTTGTGTTCATAAGCATTTAAAATATGCATTTATTTAAATAATGGAATTTTAGTTTTGAAGAAATGGAGTAGTATCAAAATGTCTAGCAACTTCAACTAAGTAACATAAGAGGAAAATGTCATTGTAAAGTCTGGTTTTTGCTTTCATGCTAAGACTTATGACTAAACATAAATGCTGCTTATTTATTGTAGCATTTACGTATCCATAAACACTTAAGGAGAATCTACACCAGCATTTACAATCTCTGAATCATTCTGGGATGATTCACCAACATTAATGGGCAGTGTAGATTAACATACATGCCATGTACTTACATACTGAAGCTGATCCTGCCTCACTGATGCAGGCGAAACCTATCTACAGTCAGGCATAGTTTTGTTTCTGTGAAGAATGGGATGTCTTAGTATGTTTATGATGAGTCAAGTACGCGCACTGCCCTGCTCTTAGTGGCAGCAGATGGCATTGGACAATCTCCTCCAACATTTTACTGAATCTCTGACATTGCATGAAAGCACCAGAAGGTTAATGCAAGGTCCGTAAAAGCAGTAAGAGCCATTTGTGTCTAATGGATATTCACTGATACCTTTTCCACAACAATCATTGAAACTGCTGAGCAAGCTCATACTGAGGTCAGGAGGAGTTCTGCATATATAAAAATCTTGCAAATTAGTTATTTTATGAAGTTCAGCTCTGATCTTGTGAGGGAATGCCAAGATGGAAAGAATTCTAGCATTTTTTTTTTTGTTTTTTTTTTTTTTTTTAATAGGAAAAAAGCAGCATGTGACATGTGGCTTGCTTTTATGCTTGTCATTTCAGTACATCTAGGTAGAAATATCCTTGTTTTTTATGAAGTATTGAAGTGTTTCAGATCTTTCCAAATCCAAATTTAAAAGTATAAACTCAAAACACCTAATAGGTAATGTTGGACTTAGAAGTAGACTTTCATTTTTAAGCAGTGTACAGAGTGAAAGATCATGGGTCAAAGTGCTTTCCCTATCTGCAGCCAGTGCAGCCTCTGGAGAGGAGGAGAGGCAGTTTGAGGCTTCCCAAGGGTTTGCCTTAGAGATTTGTTGTGTGTTATGAGTGACAACTTCAATTACTGCAGCAGAGACACTAAAAAAAGCATAGCAAATTGAGTTTTAGGGCCCTGAAACTCTCAGCATTGTGTAAGATAAATCTTGTTGCCACATTGTGATATTCATGTTTTTTTCAATAAAGGAGTCTGTCTGACTAATTAAAACTGTAATTATAAATTTTTATGTGAATATTCTAGTCAAACTGAATCTTATTTTAAAGTAGCAAACTTTCCCTCTGCCCGACAGCACAGCCTTTCTCATATGTAGAAGGCTTTTATTTTGTGTTGTCTAATTAATGAAATTATCATTATCATTTTGCATATGTATTTTGCCTTCAGCTTGTCAATCAGAATTCTAAACTATTTCATCACCTGTATTAGTGTCAATTAATGTCAATTGAAAAGCCCTCAATTAATGGACTGATGGCAGGAGGAATGGGTGATTGGAAGTTAAATAAGGCTGTAGAGTGATCGCGGTTGTTGTATTTAGGGTTTATTTGCTTATCTAGTATTTTTTTTAGAAGCCTATCAAAGTTTTGTGTTTTATGAATGACTTCTCTTCTGTTTCACAATGAAAGATAAGAGTTTAATTTCTGATACCAATATTCAATGTATTGTATGTCCAGGTTGTTACTTACATAAAAATACATGTGACATTTCCATCCCTGTGGGATTTTTGATGGCACAAGAAAGAGAATTAGTGAAGAAGAAATAATTGGGATCGTGTCTTTTAATTTTAGCTTCTTGTTCTGTGCATTCAGGAGCGTAGTACATCGTTATTGCCATATTTTCTTAACCGGGTCTTGTTGAACACATCTGTATTCATAGTTTGAGAGTATAGAACTGTTAATTACCAGCTTTTTCAGGTTTGACTGTGATACATGTCTGGTTGTACTAGATTTATTGAAAATAATGACAATGCTGCTTATATATTTGGAGAGTTTTAGCATGTCTGAGACTCTGAACTGCAAATGCCAATTGCTTGGTGTCAGGAGCTGTTTTGTGCATGCTGATGTTTCGTTTTTTTTTTCATCTTTTTAAAAACTGCAATTCTTATCTGCATGCTGAAAAAAATCAGTGTTGTGATTTTTATTTTTTTTCATGTGAAACGTTGCCCTAATATTTATTGTCCTGTTGTAGGCAGGCTGTGTGACACCTAAATCGCCCTCCACTGACATCTTTGATATGGTTCCCTTTTCTCCCATATCCCCTCAGTCATCAACACCTACTCGCAATGGTACACAGCCTCCTCCAGTACCCAGTAGATCTGCAGAGATCAGTAAGTTCTTTGACAACTGACCTAATTTTTGCTTAATCTTACATTTTTTAGGAAAACATTAAAAAAACAAACAAACATGTTTTGCATGAAAAGTCAGATACAGGTTCTCTAAGTTACGTTTGATAATACCATTCAATTTTAATACCATCTTCCTGAAGTTGATGTTGCTGCCAAGTTGCATTATAAATATATTTACTTGCTGAAAATATTATTTAAACAGTTTGAAGGAGTCTGTCTGGGGATGATAATGTGGCCTTTCTTTTGCTATGTGTTTCTTGTAGTTAACTGAGGAAATATTTTCAGTTCCTTGTTCTTTCCTTGCTATAGCTATGGCATCTAAACCCTGTGTTTCTTGGGAATACAGTATGTGAATGTGGTGATGATGATAAAGAAGGAAGAGCTGAAGAAATCCATCGAAATATAGTCTAATTAAATAATATTTTTAACACCACTTGTCATATCATGTACTGCTTTGCTTTTCAGTTATAGTTAATGAAATTCTGCAGATTTGTGGGCCGCTCCTGAAAATCTCTAAAAGATGTTTAATAATAGCAATTTTAGTTTTCAGATGCTTAAAGGCAATTAGGATAATATTTTCAGCTTAGCTGGAAAACTTGTAGGAATCCAGAGATAGTTTTTGAAAGCTTTAGAAACGGCTCGGAGAGGAGGAGGAAGCATACACACAAGTGGTGCTGGAGGTTGTAGGAATGCTTGTGTGCGTGTAGCATTTTCTCTCATTCATACTTACTTTAGTATGGATAAAGACCATTAATGTCACTGGTGGCTGCAGTTTAAGATCATATTTGAAGAGTTTCTGTCCATTTTGGGTAACACTCCTAATATAGAGAATTTTCAGGTATGAATGCAAGCACAGTTGTAATGATAAATTGTAAAACTTGAGTTGATGAGCATCTTCCCTTGTGCCTTATGTACACAGTTTCAACGCCCTCCCCCCCCCCCCCCAAAAAAAAAAATTGAGCTTTTCTCATCAAACTGTAGATACTGCCATAAAATTGATTTCAACGTGCATATGCAGCTTCAAAAGTAGTAACTTGGATTACAAGGTTTTAGCTGTTGTCCTGCCTCAGTGCCATTGAAATCACTGCTAGAAATTTTGTGGGCTTACATGGAAATCAGAGTAATTTTGAGTACTCTACTTTTCTGGTCCCTGTATTTGTTTAAGCACTGGGCTTTACAATACAGAAAAAAAATGGGGATAACTTAACAATATGCACTATTTAAAAGCATTGTGTGTGTTCTGCATTTATTTCATTTGATTTTCAATTATGATTACAGATTTCAGAGATGTAGCTGGTCAGTGCCACATCTCACCAGCTGCCTGCTAATTCTGTGCACTCCTCTGTGTGCCTTGCTTCGGAGAGAGGATTACAGAATGATGTAGCAGTCTGTATACTATTGAGCCATGCATTTTCAGGCTATGTCACAGAATCAGGGTCATTAAGGTTGGAAAAGACCTCTAATATCATCTAGTCCAACAGTCCACCTACCACCAGTGTTGCTTGCTAGACCATGTCCCTAAGTATTACATCTTCCTTATCCTTAAATGCCTCCAGGGATGGTGACTCAACCACCTCCCTGGGCAACCTTTTCCAGTACTTCACCACTCTTGCAGAGAAGAGGTTTTTCCTAATATTCTAATTTCCTAATATTCCCCACAGCTTGGTACATTGCAAATGATTGCATTCATCAGCTATTAACATCTTTTGATGTATTTAAAAAAGGCAGTTAGGAAGTAGAACACTTTCTAATCAAACAAGTACTTACTGTGTTAGATGAGAAAGTTCAGATCCCTTAAGATCTTCATTCAATCTGAGTAATTTTGCAGTACTAATAGTGTACAATAATACATTGTTTTATATGTTATTGGTGCCAGTAGAGACAGACTGGCATTTCTTTCTCCAGTACAAGTCAGATGGGTGGCAACCAAAGGAGCCAAAGTGCAGTCTCACTTATTCTGAGGTCATGTCTTCATGTTCTTCTCACTCCCTTTGCCACAGCCCTTGAGAATTATAAGATAATGTTAGTTTTTTGTATTTTTATAACTTTTATAACCTGTATAATTGAGTTATAAATACCTGTTGCTTTGAGCAGCTCTCAGCCTAGCACTCTAAGAAGAGTGCAGCAGCGGCCTTCCTTTGAAAGATAATTATCTCCAAATCATTCGAGATTTTTAAAAAGTGAAAAGGTTCTTGAAGTTTTCAATTCCTATTTAGCAGTATAGCCACACAACTACTCAGTAAATGTCTATGCACTACTAGATATGTCAGTAATAGTAGGATGGTTGGGTTTTTTTTTCTATTTTAAAGGAGAAAATGTAATGTTCTTTGGGCAGGAATTTGTAGATTGAGCAAATACATGATGTCCCTTTAGGTAACAATTACAAAAGGGGTGATTCTTTTACAAACGAAAGCCTTTTCCAGAGTTGGATTTTAACCTGAAATGTTGCAGAGGATTACTACTTCTAGAGCTGATTTTACAGTCCATGGCTTACAGGCTAAACATAAGCATTGCAGCCCGGTATAATAATAATTGCTTAACTGAAAAACTGATGTACACATAAAGCAACCAAAAATGGTGTGTTAACACTATGCTGCTGCTTCTTGTAAGCATTGAGTAAGGGACTGCAAGGGTCCTTGAAAGTTATTGTGAAGAGAAATTTGTATATTTCTTGTTGGCACAGCATTGTTGTATCTCAGAAAAGAACTGGAAACATGCTGTCAAATTACTTAAAATTTCTTTCACTTAAAGGACTTACAAAAACCAAGGTCACAACTGGCAGGTGTAGAAATCTGCTCCAAGATTTATCTTTTCAGAATCTGTTATTAGAATAATGATGGAACCACTTGTTATGCTGTAATAATTACAAAAGAAAAAATTATGGAGTAGCCTGCAGCTAAGGGAAAGGCTTTCTGGCCCTCATTCCCTTAGCTTACTCCAAATATTTTCTTGGGTACTTATCTTCAGTGGATTAATTTGTATTTGTCGTTCCAGCTGCTCCAGGACATTTGGGGAAAGCATATATCAGCATAACTCTGTGTCTGGATGATAGCTAATGTAAAGAAGTTTGGGTTGCAAAACAAAGCAGAAACGCCAAATATTTGCAGAGTTTTGTTGGTTTAATTCTTGCTAGTTCTGAGTTTGTTACAGAATGTAGACTGCGATTCTCCAGCGTTAGTTATTTCTTCAGGTCAGCCCCAGAAATAACAATTTACTACTTGTTCATGTTTTTCGGCACTTTGAGTTACAGATGTGAAGCATCACTATTTTATGTTCTTGAATTTGTTCACTGGTTTTCCAAGCAGTGAGTTTATTTTCCTCCAGTAAGGAAAGGTATTTTCCAGAAGGAGGGAAAGGAAATTATGTGTGTTGCTCAAAGGAATTGCTTTCAGAGATTTACCCATTTGTACTGAAGAAAGAAATGCCTATCTACATTACAGGTATTTTGGAGAGTGTGCCAGGCAAGCTACTATCGTTATATTTAACATGTTTTCTTGTCAGTACTTCAGCATAAAATAAAATATTACTGATTTGTGTTGTTTCTGCTAAAATTGAGCTAAAAAATGGACAGTAAACACCATCAGCAAAGGTTATGGAAATGCCATGCAACAGTGGAGCTTTGCAGTGAATAAATTTCATCCTGTTTCCACATATTCATCTTCTGTTTCAAAGAGAAATACTGACTGAAAGTATTTCATGGTGCTCTGACTCAGCAATGCAATCTCTCTGACAACACACAAACTTAAAATGCAGTAAAGCAATGAGCCTGTTGTCCTACAGATTTTTACAGCCATTTCATTGAAATGGATATCAAATTGTAATAGAGATAGATGGTTTCCCAAAACATTTAAGGGAAATTCAGCTAGGAGATAACTATCTTGAAAATTTGATTCTATGCAAGGCTTAGTAGCTCCATCATTGATAATGAGCGCTTCTCTGTTCAATTTTAAAGTCTGCCTTGAATAACAATTTGAATGAAATTACCTTTGACACAAAGGCATGTTCCACTGAAGGAGTTAAAGCTTCTACCATTCTCCTTTTAATTAGCTCAATACTGTCATAAACAAAAGCATAATACTTTGAGCATGAATAAGATGTCCAGAGAAATGTTCATAATACTTGCTTTCAAAAATAGTGATGTAATTACAGTACTTGGAAATTAAAGAACTGTTTTCCTTACTGTTCTTTCATAAATACATTCCTTGAATGTTTGCAAAGGCTTGGTATTGAAACTGGCTGCTTTAAGCTATCTGACCACATAGAAAACTGTCAGCTCTTTGTGATTCTGTGATTCCCTTTTTAGGGTAAAAAGAACTTAAGAAAAAGAGGAACAAAAAGAAGAAAAAAAGAAATAAATGGACCTAGATAATGAGCAAATAAACTTAGGTGGGACATAAAACATAATCATTTTTTCCCCAGTAAACGTCAGATTGAAAGTTAAAGCTGCTGCACATCTGAATATCTTGAGTAGGAGTATAAGAACATGTAAGGATGCTGATAGTACTTACTGTACTTGAGCAGACCCATTTTGGCTGTGAGAGAGGCAAGGGATGAGGTAGATCCTAATTTTTCTATTAGGTTATTCTCGTTGATATCTGTTTTGCATGAGGGTAGTCTGCCTCTGCCAGGAAAGGCTAGATTTTTTATTTTTACTCAAGTGGGCTTTCAGAATGAGGTTGTCAGATCTGGGTCATCCCTTGTTCCTATGTGGTAGTCTACTGCTGCTAAGCCATGGCATAATTATGTAATTACTCCAGTTCCTACTTGTTCTTGTACAGTATTATGGCAACATAATATTCTAATTATTTAAGAAATATGCTGTGCAATGCAGGTGTGGTAACACCAAATATTAGGTCAAAACCATAGAAACTTATTTGCAGAATAGAATGTTGAGAAGCCTAGACAAGTACAGGCCTGGAATGTGGACTCGATAAATGATGAAATAAAGACTTTTATTTAGCTATTTTAACACTCTTCAGCCCTTTTAATGTGACGTAACAGCATGAATTTAATGTCAGGTTGTCAATTATCAGCTTGAATATCTTGTATGTTAAGAGTAAAATCTGGAGCTAAAACAGAAAAATATTAATTTCTTAGATATTAAGGGTCCTTTTCCCTATTCCCAAATCCAATGTGATTTTGAGTTAGGCAGTCTGATTACCAGGTTTCTTCCTGGACAACTGTGAAGGTTAGGAAGTTTAGTATTCTCTTCAGCAATTACGAAGCTGTGTTACCTTTGTTTTATGAGTGTTATCATCAGTGTGTTTCATGCTAGTTCATCAAAATGTGTTTAATGCTAGTTTTCATTTCATCAAAATGTGTTTAATGCTAATTTCAGTCAGTACAGTATGATAGAGAACATGTCTGTATAGATGGCACTCCATCATGTAGAGAAAAATATTCCCATTACTGAGAAGTAAAAATATCTGGGCTGTCAGATGTGAGGACGAACTAGCCTTGCACAGTTCCAGT